CCTAAGACCAAATTTCATGGCTAAAACCAAGAACTCCAACCCCGATTCTGACGACTTTTAGTCGGACCATGGAGAATTTCGACCGAAACAAGCCCAGAGACATCCAAAAAGAAAGATCCCCAATGCGGCTGAAGTAGAAGAAACGGAGGATTTAGATTATCGCGGTAAAGATGAACCCCAAACCGCAGGAGATGATTCAGAAGAAAGTTTGATCGATGAATTCGAGGATGAGCAAATATGGGTATATGTTCTAGCGGTGATTCTCAGTCGGGTATATGTTCAGTATATGCGGCGTATATGGGAAATTCTAGAAGTCAAAACATAATGCGAAACAATTTTATCATCGGTCGGGTATATGTTCAGTTTATGTTCAGTATATGCGGCGTATATGGAAAATTCTAGAGGTCAAAACATAATGTGAAACAGTTATATCATCAGTTCAGTATATGTTCAGTTTATGTTCTGTATATGCGACGTATGTGGGAAATTCTAGAGGTCAAAACATAATGCGAAACAGTTTTATTATCAGTCGGGTATATGTTCAGTATATGCGTATACTGCCGTGTCTTCTTATTCCACTCACCACTGTGATGAATGATTACATTTTGAAATAGGTTTACATTCTTAATCCTCGATTTTTTGTTCTGCTAGATTTAAAAAAAAAAAATTACCTTTTAAATTTTTGAAAATGGTCCTATTCTAATCGGTGATGATTTCTTATGCCAGATTTGAAGTTTTATTTGTTTTGTCCATGAAAAACGGAATGCTCAAAACAGAATCTATTTTTTTCCTTTTTTTGTTGATCACAAATTCCACAAAAACTAAACAGAAACAGTCTTCATTTGGTAATAGATAAGGTCGTGTATTCATAAATAATTGACAGTAAATTCGTTGGATTGCTAATTATTTACTCTTAATCGTAGGTTTGTAATTATTTGTAAATCTTATAGGATACGTGTAAATCGGTCTAATAATTTTTGAACGCTCAAACGTGGGAGCCAAAAGCCCATTGTTCATCAGCCCAAAAAAACAATAAGTAATAAAATAAGAGATTTTTCTTTTTTCCTTTTTTTTATTGTAATAATTTTTTTTTCTCTCTCCATCAATATTACAACATTAATTTGTTTTGTACTGATCAATGTTTTTGGAAACTTGAGGATTTAGTGCATGATTATTTATTTAAGTGTCATATTTTTTGATGATGTATCCAATGATATCAGTTAGTGTTATATTTGGTATACCAATAAGCTAGACTATTATAGCTTATTTGGTTAACTTATAAGCTTCTTGATTCAAATAAATTTCTTTTGGTATGACGATCTTTTTTAAAAAAATCGAGCTTATTTCATAAGCTTTTTTGTGTAGCTTTTCAAATAAGTCCATTAAAATTTTTATTTCAGCTATTTTATCGGCTAATTTTACCAAACACTTTTATCATATAAGCTAACTTTTAGCTACAAGTCATAAGCTATAAGCTATTATAAACTCAAAAATTACTGATAAGATATATAAGCTAGTTTATTAGCTATCAGTACCAAACATAGCCTAGATTAATCTATGACCTAATTGTATGTTTTTATGGGTTAAAGACATAGGCAAAAAATATAGCTTGACTTGTTTAGACTCTGACACTACAAGAAAACACTTTAATTCCAACGAAAAATTCCAACAGCAAAATTTCTGTTGGAAATTCCAATGAATATTCCAACAAATTTAATTTTATGTTGGAATAAGTGTTGGATGGTTGAGGAATTCCAACGGGTTTTTTCCGTTGGAATAGTTGTAGGAATTTATTTCCATAGGATTTTTCATTGGATTTTAGCTATTCCAACGATCGTTTTTTCCACGAATTTTTATACGTAGGAATATCCGTTATAATAGCTATTCCAACGGAAAATATAATGAATTCCAATAAAAAATTTCTGTTGGAATGTAAGAGTTTTTTTTGTAGTGTGACTCTCGAAAAGGCTTATAATTAGGCTCGAAATTGTGCATATATGATGGACCTTGTTGAGAGATCTATTTCTCTATACATTGTATTGGCTTAATGCATCAGCTATGATTGTTTAATTATGTTTTAGCTTAGCGATTGGAAAGGCTAAGGTTCCGTTACGGAATCATTCCGTCAGTTTTGTAATCTTTAGATCAATCATATAACCGTGAGAATTAGTTGATCTAACTGTTACAAACCCCGACGGAATGGTTCCGTAATGGGACCGACATCTTCCCATATTTAGATTATTATTTTGGCACAAATAAAAAGTACTAGAAACAGTAAAAAAAATAAAAAAATAAAAAAGGACAGCTGAAAGTTATTATTCTTAATAAAACGTGTCATATCTATATATATATAATAAAGGTTTGATTATTTTTTAAATAGTAACTATTTCCCGCCAAAAAAATGTTATTTACCAATTTTGGAAACTATTTAGATATTTTATGGTATGTTTTAAAGATACAATTTAAGTAATTGCGACTGATTAATTAAGACAATAAATCACATAAAAATTTTCTTTTGTATCTCAAGATATTCATATCATATATTTGTACATATATATCATATATTTGTACCTAAGATATCAAGATCTATCACATTTCTAATAAACATTAGATTTACTTATATATTTTTAAATTAATCACATTAATAAATAATATTAATATACATAAGTATTTATCATTATATAAAAAAGAAATATTACTTCTATTAAATGTTATAAATAATATTGACATTATACGGCAATAAATTTGTTAATAAAATAATATATGAGTATTATGATGAACCAAAATATGTAAAATTATTATTTTTGTATTAAAAAATAAATATATATGTTAAAATGTTATTTATATTAATATAGACAAATCAACGGACTACTACATTGTTAAAATAAAATTTACAAAAATATTTTACATTACAAAATCTCCGTTTCGCACGGGATTCTCACTGGTTTAAATTATACACCATGTTATTTCGCTAAAAAGATCATTATTTCCTTTAGTCCCATCGTACCATGATCGAAGACAAACTATTTTCTGTCTAAAGCCTAAAGGCCAAAGCCTATATCTATCTATTATTAATGTTAATCATCATTATTTTGGAATCAA